AGTAGTTCATATATTTTGAGGGTTTGCCATGTTCCAGACATTGAAGAGAGCTTTATGTTTATTGTCTCACAATCTTTTCAGTAGGTATTGTTGAACAGCAGCTTAAAGAGATCTAAGTAATTTTCCCAAAGTTGCACTCACATTACTAGTTAAGTAAGGAAGCCAGGATTCAAACCTGGTGTGTTTATTATGATTTTTGAACCATGAGACTGTTAGCTATTCAGAATGATGAATGCAGTTTTAAAAATACCAAAAGGATAAACCGTGATATCCCCTTTCCACTCCTAGGGACAGCTACTATAGCCAATGTCTTGTATGTCTCCCCAGAGATAGCAAATGCATATAAACTGAGTATATTTTTCCTTTTCCTGCGTTCCTTACAATTGGTATTTATTGTGGACGTTATTGTGCATCTAACTGGAAGATTGTTTCTTATCAGTGTATACGTTGATGTCTCTTTTTTTTTTTTTTTTTTTTTTTGAGACAGAGTCTCACTGTGTTGCCCGGGCTAGAGTGCCGTGGCGTCATCCTAGCTCACAGCAACCTCAAACTCCTGGGCTCAAGAGATCCTCCTGCCTCAGCCTCCCAAGTAGCTGGGACTACAGGCATGCGCCACCATGCCCGGCTAATTTTTTCTATATATTTTTAGTTGTCCAATTAATTTCTTTCTAATTTTAGTAGAGACGGGGTCTCACTCTTGCTCAGGCTGGTTTCGAACTCCTGAGCTCAAACAATCCGCCCGCCTTGGCCTCCCAGAGAGCTAGGATTACAGGCTTGAGCCACCACGCCCAGCCCGTTGATGTCTCTTTTTTTGACAGATGACTAGTGTTCCATTATATCCTCTATCGGTGGACATTGATGTTTCTTTTGATATTACAGTCAGTAACCTAGCACGTTATCACTTTGCACCTGCTTCAGTGCAGTGTTCATCAGCCTCAGTACTGTCGACATTTGGGGCTGGATAATTCTTTGTTCCGGAGGCTGTTCTGTGCATTATAGGGTGTGTAACATCATCCCTGTCCTCTATGCACTGGTGCCAGTAGCACCCCCATCCTGAGCTGTGACAACCAAAAATATCTGCAGACATTGCCACATGTTCCCCAGGGGGATCAGAAATCACCCTTGGTTAAGAACCACTGCTCTAGTTTAATTTTTCCTTAGGACAAACATCTAGAAGTGGAATTGCTGGATCTAAGGTGATGTGTATTTAAAATTTTGTTGGCAGTTGCTAAATTGTTCTCCATAGAGGTTGTACTGTTTTACAGCCCAACCAGCAGTGTTTGAGGATATTTCCTCATTCTCACCAATTCAGTGATTTGTCAAAATTTTTTTGCCATGTCACTGTAGTTTTAATTTGAATGTCTGTTTTCCAGCTAACCTCTTTAAATGAGCACTTAATTGCTTGCTAGGCACGTAGTGTTTTGTGGCTTGTGGATTTTGTGCCACACTTAGTAATGCCTGCCTCTCTATGCCTTCTTAAAGTTTGGTACCTAGAACCGAAGACAGTACTCAGTGTTTCTTCTGATCCTAATGAAGTGATGATATGTGCCATTTATTGAGATCTAATATCTGACAGACATTGTGCTTGGTGCGGTCTGTAAGTGCATGTATCCTTTTGTGGTTTAAGCCTACATTTTTCATAAAATGGCCTTTCTTTTACCTTTTGAGTTGGTATGGGACATCTCTGTGTACCTATTGTAGCAGTCATGGTCTCCTGAGTTAGGGTGTATCACAGAGAGCTAGCTGAAAAGTATTTAATTCTGTAATCAGGAGTCATAATGGTCCCTACCAAATACTTTGTGGTTGGATCAGAATTGGTATAGATGCCCTGATCTAAATTAAGTTCCCTCTGTTACTTTTCCAGGAGTTCACTTGTTAACGGTCATCAAGGTTTGACGTTTTGACTTTGTGCATGTTTATTTAGTGGGCACTTGTCTCTAAGCATATCTGTTCACTGCTAAATATCCAACACGTACCTAGTGCTTGGCACATCCTGTGTGCCCAGTGAATATTTGTTGAGTGAATGAACCAGTCACTCCAAGAACTGAGGCCATTTGGGGGCCTAAAGGCCCAGATTGACCATTCAGTGGGTTGAAGAGTTTAGTGATAGGCTCTGTTGCCTTCCTCGGATGAAGCCGTCTTCCTTCCTAAAAGGCTCAGAATTAGTTGACTCTTATATTTTTCTCTGGAACATTTGGCTGTTGGGGGAACGTTGGTCTAAATGATTTGCAGTGAGGTTGTCTGGAGTCAAGCTGTGGAAGTTAAAGAGAATGGGTGAATATTCCTCTGGATTAATGGCTTCCCCTACCTGCACTCTTAAGGGGTCATAATTGTATTTATTTGAGGCAAAGTGATACCTTCTTCTAAATGAGCTGTTATCTACAAATTGTGATTTGACTGAGTTCCGATGTGAGCAATTTTCTGATATTTCCAGACATCAAAGTCTGTGTTAAGGGGGCCTTAAGACACCAGTTACCTCTGGCTTTAATGATTTTTCTGTTAATCCAGCAAGATATTTGGAAACTTTCTTGATAACCGCAGTTTGCTTGCTGTTTCTTCTCCTTCTAAGAATTTATATGAGGGTTGTGTAGTGTTGGCCGCATAACTCGTTTGGCTAGTTGACTGTTCTCTGCTCCGGAGGCTGGCACTTGTAACAGGACCTCAGGGGGCGGGGCAGCACAAGCAAGGGAGAGGTCACTCCCTCCGAGGGGGAGAGCAGCTGGCTCACAGTGGCAAACTGTAAGGGGTCGGCTGAGGGGTTGGAGAGTGAATATTTTGGCTTTGCCGGCTATGGTCGTGGTCTCTGTCACGTATTCTTTGTCTTTTACGTCTCTTTAAAGATGTAAAATCATTCCTAGCTGGTGAGCCTTAGAAAACTGGGCCGTTGCCAGACGTGGCCTATGGGCTGGGGTTTGTGAACCCCTGAACTAGGTGAGGAAATTAGTTTATTGCTACATGTGTTTACTTTAATGTTTCGGGGACATGAACCCAGAAAAACCTTGAGAATTCTCGGTTGGTTGCTATCCAAAGAAGAGCAATCTAAACTCTGGCATGGAGGTCAAAGTGACCCTTGTGTCGGTCACCGTGGGTCTGTGGAACTCCAGGTAACCTTGGCCAGTGGGACAGAGGGCTCTTGCTGCCTTTTTCCCGTGGGGGAGCTGGCCAGGGGGAGCAGGGAGGCAGGCATGGAAGAGTGTTTCCCTAGGCAGGTCTGAGGAACGTGGTGGTTCAGGGGCCCTCACCTCTTCTGGAACGTCGTGAGAAAGCTGGCATGTGCATTCAGTTTAGCCGGTTTATAGAACTGAAAGAGTAGTTCTGTACCTTGGATTCTGAGAACACCAAATTCCGATGCGTGAATCCAGACCCTTGTGGTTTTCTCCGATCACAGGTTGTTCTGTAGAGCTGGCTGGCACGAAGCAAGTGTTACTTGATTTCAAGCCGTGCAGTTTGGGAGATAGGAAGGGGTGGTGGTGACAGAGCGGGGGCTCGCGGGCACACGTCCTCGTCCCGACTCCTGCTCTGCCACCTACTAGCCGTGCGACCAGCGTAACTTAATCTTCTCAGGCTCAGCTTCCCCACCGGGAAATGGTGCTGCCTTGGAGTTGTGAGAATTAAGCGAGGATAGTATGTGTAAAATGGTGTTGGCTCGGTGTCTGTCGTCTTGTAAGCATTCCATAAATGTGAGCAATCGCAATGATAACGTGAAAATGGAAGCAGTGGGGTACCAGAAATAGCCGGTGTTTGTGACTCAGTGCTGTCGAACACCTCATGCCTGTTGAGCATTTAATTACTAAGTGTGTCTGAAGGCAGCGGCCCCACAAGGAACTGGGTCTGTGTCTCCCCGCCTTAGGTTCCTGACTTGCAAAATGGAAATCATGTAGGTTATGGGGTAACCACATGAGGTAATACATGAAGGGCCTTAAGTTATCTAAAGCACTGGACTAAGTTTAAGGTGAAGTCAGTACCTGTTTTTGTTCAATTTCTTGAACTTCTAAATGCGTTGAAACAGCTAGAAGGTGACGGGTTCGAAACCAAAATGTTTTGCCAGTGAGACTTGATAGTACACTCCCAAGTTCAGGATTTGCATAGGTTACTTGTAATTTGGAAGGAGTGATATAAAATTGAAATACTTTTATGAAATATTCGAAATAGTAGAACTTAAAAGTTAGTGGCCAGTGTGGGGAGATAGGCTGGAGGAGTTTAATCTCTATGTAGAAAATGTGACAATATCTTGCAAAATTAAAAATGTGTATTTTCTTTCTCCCTACAATTCCATTTCTAGGAATTCATCTGAAAATGTATTTGCCATGTGCATTTTGTATACTAAATCATGTATGCACCTGGTTATTCGTTACAACATATGTGTAACAACAAAACAGGAATATCAGTGTCTAGCCTTCGGAGACTGGCGAAGTCAATCATGGTGCATTCTTACAGTTGAAACTGTGCACCTGCAGAGTGAGGAAGCTCTGTAGGCGCTGGTGGAACATTCTTCAAAGCTACGTTAAGCTAAAAAAAAAAAAAAAAAGCAAGGTGAAGAACAAAACATTGCCTGGCCTGGGGCAGAAGTGGAGGGAGGGGAGTACAAATATTACTTCCTTGTATGAGCATAGACGATCTTGGGAAGAATTTGAAGCTGGTAATGTGGCTGCATCTGTGAAGAACTCTGGCTACCTGGGGGACAGGTAGGAGGGAGGTTAACTTTTCATAGCACACGCTTTGTATCTTTTGAAACATGTCTTAGGTACGTACATATACTTGCTATTCAAAAAGTGTGAGTGACCACAGGTCATATCATTGGGGTTGCAACTGCAAAGCATCTGGGTGTTTTCGCCCCAGATCTGTGTCTGCCACCTGTCGCTCTACCTGGTCCCTTTGACTTTTATGACTTGAGAAGCTGGCGCTGCCTGTAGGCTTACCCTAAAACAGCCACCCCCATGCTTATTGACGTTTCTCCTCTAGATTCGTGTGACTGACTGTGTTTCTGTTTCCACCCCCAGCTTTGGCAGCATGTAAGCAGCTTTTTGCCAAGAACCCAGGTCACTGCTGAGAAGGGGCCTTTGGGAGAAAAATACCCAGAGGAAACCAATGCCAGAGGCGCCTGGAATTACGCTCACCGCGGGCAGCATGAGACATTCTGTGCCGACCTCTCTGTCCTACTGGCAAAGACCGTAGCTCTCCAGGTGGGAGGGTCCTGGGGGCAGCAAGTGCTGGACGCCTCGTTCGAGGGAGAATGGGGCCACATGTGAACTCGCTGCAATGAACACGATTTTCAGCTTGTGAAGGAATTTTAAGTAAAATAATTATTTAATATCCACATATTCAAGATCAAAAGCCTTCTCTGTGAAGTGCCAGCAGTCACCCCCTCCACAGGAGTAATTAGGACTTTTTTGGCACCAAGCTGAGCTCTTCTTGGTACTTCTGGCAGTGACAGAGCTGTAAAACAGATTTATCTGCTGCGTGCTCCTGGGCAAGGAAAAAAGAATAACCTCTGGAAGCAGCATCAGGACAGCAGAGCAGAGGCCCTCCTCGCTGCTCACTTGCGCAGGAACTCAGCCTGGACTTGGATGCTTTTCCTGAAGCTCTGTCCTGTCTTGTTCACCACCCACGTCCATCTGTTTCGGGGAGACCTGGCGTTTTCAGCTGCCTCTCACGGTCCTTTTCACCAGTCGTTCTCCTCCCAAGCCTTCTATTCAGGCACGTGAATGATGTGAACCTTGGAATGGAGTTTGTTATCCCTCGGGGACCCGCTTCCTTGCCCAGGCTGGTGCTGTTGGAAAGGCCCATCTGAAGGCTGTGGTTTGTTCTCGAGACGGAGGGCGCTGGCCTTGCCTGAGTCGTCCACCATGTTCCTGTTGCTGCCTTTTGATAGCCTGATTGTCAACCTCCTGGGCATCTCCCTGACTGTCCTCTTCACCCTCCTTCTCGTTTTCATCATAGTCCCGGCCATTTTTGGCGTCTCCTTTGGTATCCGAAAGCTCTACATGAAAACTTTGTTAAAAATCTTTGCGGTGAGTTGCGCTGTTACAAGAGGTTGCTTCACAGAGGAGCGAAGAAGTGCTCGTAGCAGAAAGAGTTGTTCTTACCTGGTTCATTGCTATTTCTTCCTTGGGTATGGAGAAAGTTGGGAGAGTGGGAAGTGGCATTTTGAGTAAAAGGAATAGCTAGACATGTATTTATGAAAGCCTTTAGCAGTCTTTCTTATTGCGCTAAGGTACTTGTATGTTTGATTCATGCCAAACAAAGGGACCTGTTCCATGACTCTGCAGCTCACCTGTGTATTTCACTCTTTGAAGTAAGCAGGCGTAGCACTGAAGGACAGAATTGCTGCCAGACCCACCTCCTCTTCCCCAGCAGATGCCCGAGGTCGTTCCTCACGACAGCGCCAGAGAGAGCCTTTTCTCTCTTCTAAGCATTTATCCTAAGTAGGCTCTTGCACTTCAGACAGAATAAACAGAAAAGCGCATTTGAATTGTTTTGTTTACTTAAGGATAGAGGAGAAGGATAATAAATTTCTGAATGTATGTCAGAACTTAACCTAATTCTACCATTGAACAGAATTGGTCACATTGTAAAGGAAACGAGTAAGAAGTGATGTTTTCTGGAAGTTGATCCGTACCACGAGACTTTTACTATCTCTATTCAGAGATTGGTAATTTAATTGCAGTGTGTCTGTTTTCAGTGGCCACCAAATCTTTAAGAATTCTTGTTGAGATGATGTATAATTTGAGATGTGCACTCATAATAGTAAAAACAATACATTATTCATTAGGGTTTTCAGAATAATTTTTTTTTTCATTTTCCTTTGGTTCCTTATAATTCTGTGGTGGACAAGGTAAGTATCTGCACTTTATCAATGAAGAAGATGACTCAGAACGATTAAGTGAGCTGTATGAAATGTTACAGTGGAAAGTATCTTTATGTATGCCATTAAATCTTGGGTTTTATCTTTTATAGTATTTACTGTTCCTGTAAGAATGATTTTTTTCACAGTGTAAAAAATTGAGGCGAAATTGACAACATAATATTAACCATTTCAAGGTGAACACTTCAGCGGCATTTAGTGCATTCACAGTGTTGTGCAGCCACCACCTCTGTTCAGTTCCTCAGCATTTGCATCACTCCAGAAGGAAGCCCCATGTTCCTTGTGAGGATTTCAACACAACAAAACAAAAACACGGCAGGAAACCTCATGCTCATTAAGCGTTCACTCCCCATCCCTCCCGCAGCCCTCGGCAACCACGACTCTGCAGCTGTCTCTGTGGATTTACCTATTTTGGACATTTCCTGTGAATGGAATCATGCAAAATGTGTCCTTTTGTCCAGCTTCTTTCACTTAGCATAACATTCTCCAGGTTCTTCTGCATCGTAGCGTGTATCAGTACTTTCCTTTTGTGTCTGTGGCTGAATTACTTCACTACGTGTCTATACCGTGATTTGCTTTTCCCTTCATCCATCGATGCGCATCCATAGGCTGTTCCACCTTCGCTGGCTGTGGCGAACGGTGCTGCTGTGGACTTGCATGTGCATGGATTTGTCTGAGTACCTGTCTTCAAGAATAGGATTGTTGAGCACTACTTAGGATGATCTCCAGGGTTATCCGTACCTGTCCCTTGCTACTCAGAGAACAGCGTGGGGATCGGCAGTGTGAGTGTCACCTGGGGGTTGTTTAGAAACGGAGATCGCAAGCCCATTCCAGACCTACTCAGATGTCTTTGCATGTGATTCACGTGTGTGTTGAAATTTGAGAAGTGGTGGTCCAGTCAATATCTGGACTGACTGTTTTACTAATGTATAGTATTTGTTTTAATTAATCAGTCAGGAAATGTGATTTTCACATATTTCAGTCCAAAAAAATCTTGAGTAGTGCACAGGATCTCCGTAGAGAATATAATTCTACCCATGCCCTTTTGCCACTGTGAAAAACATCCACCAGGATAGCATTAGTAGAATAGCTTAGGGGATGGCCGTAAGAGATGTCTGGCTTTAATTCACATTTATAAGCAAGTGATTAATTCATGGACCTATGGAAGTCTTTTTGTTTTTTGGGGTTTTGTTTTTGTTTTTGTTTTTGTTTTGAGACAGGGTCTCTCACTATCGCCTGGGTTGGAGTGCAGTGATATCATCATAGCTCACCGCGACCTCAAACTCCTGGGCTCAAGCAATCCTCCTGCCTCGGCCTCCCAAGTAGCTGGGACTACAGGCATGTGCCACCATGCCCAGCTAATTTTTCTATTTTTTGTAGTGGCTGGTCTCGAACTCCTGGCCTTAAGTGATCCTCCCACCTTGGGCTCCCAAAATGCTGGAATTACAGGTGTGAGCCACCATGCTTGGCCTTGGAAGTTGTTATTTTTGAAACATAGAAGTAAGAGTTATGAGCCTAGGGTTCTCTTGGAGTAGTTAAAATTTAACTCGGATGACTTTGGATGGGACAGGAGGCCTGGAATCCATGTATATTCCTTACTCCATTTTGAAAACGTCCCCCGGAATTAATATTTTCAAGTTCATAGGCAAGTAAATCCTTCTTATTATGACTATTATTTTTAAAATATACATTCTTGTGATTTTTAGTGTAGATTATAATTATTCAGTAGAAAATTCATTAAATGATTGGCCAACAATCTATGGGACATGTAATCTTGAGCCATCAGAGACTATTTGCAGGCTCTATCTTGAAAATCACTGGTTTGGGGCATGGTGATTTAGAAGTGGTAATGGAAGCAGCATGTATCTATTTGTGACCTCAAGATTTAGAATTTCAGAAGCTGGATTTGTACCCCTTCTTCCTGGAGGTGTGTGCCAGGCAGTGAAGGGCTGTGTGTGTCCTGTGGATCCTGTCCTGTTGGGCTTCGTGGACAAGTAGAGCCTGGCTGTGAGCTGGCGTAAGGGGGGAGCTAGAGCGGACTGGCGTGTCGCATCAGGGCCTCGGCGCTCTGGAGGCGTGTCGTCTTTTCTCCCACTCCGTTCCTGCTGAGTCCACCTGATGGACAGTAAGAATGGAATGCTACTTTTACCAGTGGTAGTGTCGGGTACAAGCTGGATTTGGCCAAACTGGCTTCAGTCCTTGGAATGTTTATGTCTGTGTTTGTGTGTGTATACATCTAAAATACACCTATACTGTGGGGACTGTCTTAGTCTGTTTGGTCTGCAGTAACAAACTACCATGGACTAGATGGCTCCTAAAAACCAGATTTATTTCTCATAGTTCTAGAGGCTGGGAAGTTCAAGATCAGCGTACCAGCAGATTCAGTGTCTGGTGAGGGCTCGCTTCCTCATTCGTAGGCATCCGACCTCTCTCTCTGTCCTCACGTGGCAGAGGAATGAGGGAACTCTCTGGGGTCCCTTTTACAAGGGCACTAATTCCCTTCATGAGGGCTCCACCGTTGTGACCTTATCACCTCCCAAAGGCTTCACCTCTGAATACCGTCACCTTGGAGGTTAGGTTTCAACATATGAATTGGAGGGGGACACAAACACTTAGTCTGTAGTAAGGAGAGACCTTTATTTTACTTTATTTTAGCCCCTTTACCCCTTCTATATTGGGATGGTAACACATAATTTTAGAACAGAAAGAAAACTCCAAGATCATCTTAATTTTTATGGTTCTCCCTCCTGACTATACATTATAATCACCTGGAGAAGCATTATTAAAAATATGTATTTTGGGCCACCAGAATCTGATTTAATTGGTCTGGGCGGGCATTTTTTAAAAGTGCCCTGGGTAATTCTGCCATCTGCTGTCAGAAGGTGGAGCCTGACACACCGCCTCGAGTGGGGCCTTGGCTTGGTGACTTGCTCCTGGCATGGGAGCAGGTGGTGGTCCTGACACTGAGTGGCGTGTGAGACTGGGTTAGAAAAGGCAGGGGGCGTCGCTCTGGCTCCCTCTCTCGGGCTGCCTGCTTCTGGAACCCAGGTGCCCTGTCGTGGGAAGCCCTGCTGCGGGGAGGTGCCCAGCTCACAGCCAGCGCCAGCGCCCCACGCAGGAGTGAGCGAGCCTCCCCGGGAGTCCCGCCCCCAGCTGAGGCCAAACCTGTGCAGTCTGCACATTCATGAGCAACATAAATGGTGGTGGTGGTTTAAGCCACACAGTTCTGAGGTGGTTTGTTACATAGCAATAGATAACCAGACAAATATTAGAGAATTTTAAACGTCCACGTCCCACAGTTTACATTACCTTTAAATTTTTTGCATATTTCCTTCCAGTCTTTGGTAATACGCATCATATTTTATGGTTGTGTTAGTAGCATACACTTAAGATTTTGTGTCTGTTTTCTCTGGGCATTTTATCAGCCATTTTCATATCTTCCTAGGTAATCTTCATAAACATCATTAAAGCTGGATATCTGTGCATTTGGCAAAGCCAAGTAAGCTCTGGCTTAACAGTTTCCCACGATTAGTTCATCCTGTACGGAGGAACCAGGAGAAAGTATTGGTATGCCTTCCGAGAGAGGAGGACTACAGAGAGGGCATGGGTGGGTCAGTGACTTCTGTCCCCTTTCCTGAAAGACTTAGTGCAGGTCCTGTGAAGGCTGAGTCACTGAGGATCTTTGCGTACAGAGCAGCATGTTTTCTGAAGTGGTTTAGTCTGCTTTCTTAGTCTTGTGCTTCAGACAGAGGAACCCTCTACACGGTGGAGGTGGTATTTAGAGTGGAATTCCTAGGAGTGGGCTCTCAACTGAGTGGAGAATGACTTGGAGAAGGGGAAGAGAGGAGAGCCCGGCTGTAAAGGAGAGAGATGAGGGTAAATGATAGGAAAGGAATTGGTCAGGTTATGTTAGAGAAGGTGGGACAGTTATAATCTGACCCGTGTTAAACTCCAGAGCAGAATTTGTTGGTGGAGAGTCATAGAAACCAGTGATGGTTACGAAGAAGTTGAAGAGACTCTAGCGGTCGTGGGGTTGTGGTGGGGTGAGCGTTTGGGGTCAGGCAGCCCTTACTTGAATACCAGGGCTTTCCTTACGGGCTCTGAAACTGAAGCCACTGAACTTTCCAGTCTATTTCTTTATTGAGA